GCAACCACTTGTCCGCAGCGTTGCGTAAATTCTTAAAAACATATATAAGTCTGTGAACACGATTAGCTGTAACCATATGCCGCCCAAAATCCAATTTGTCATCAAAGACAACACCAAGATATTTAATAGCTATTGTTCGGTCAATACGTGCACATGTACATTTTGATGATGGTTGTCCTTGACGGGTACAGGTATGAAGAGCAATGTCGGTGAAACCTGTTGGTGCTGAGGCCTTGGCGTTGTGAAAGCAAATAAATTTTATTTTGGAGATATTCAGAGTCAGCAAATTGTTTTCAAGCCATTTTGCCACAGCATCCAAACCCTGTTCTGTGGAACTAGCCACTTGAGCCCAAGAGTCACCGTGGAAAAGGATAGCGGTGTCGTCCGCGTGACATATAACCTCAGCATTGTGCAAATTACTGCTACTAGGAATGTCATTGATGTAAACAATGAATAGAGTCGGCCCCAAAATACTTCCCTGCGGGACTCCGAACTGCACTGCTTTACAGTTACTGATATTTTGGTCAACTTTTACACAGCGCGATCGGTCTGTCAAATACTTTCTAAACCAGTCTACAGCCTTTCCTCTTATTCCGACAAGTGCTAACTTCTTTAAGAGGATCGGAATGGGACCAGTATCGAACGCTTTGGCTAGGTCGAGGAATACGCTCAAGCAAGCCTTATTTGCATCTAAGTATGTCGAGATCAGCTTGGTCATAAGAACAACTGCGTCCTCAGTTGATTTGTTTGCTCGAAAACCGTACTGTCGCTCTGAGAAAATGTTTTTTTTTCTAGGAAGCCGACCAACCGCTTGCTCGCTAGTCTTTCCAGAATTTTAGAGAAGGCTCCCAGCAGAGAAATTGGTCTCTTGTTGCTGGAATCAGACCGGTCCCCCGCCTTGTGTATTGGAGTAACTGCCGCTACCTTCCAAGCACCAGGGAAGATTCCTTCAGCCAAACTTAGATTGTATTTGTAAGTGAGAGGTACCGTGATGGATTTTTTAACTGTCTTTAGTAAACGGTTAGTAACTCCATCAAGACCGGGGGCACTATCCGAGTTTAAGTTATGTATCAAGGACTCGACTTCAGCTTCGTCTGTGGGTTCAAAGAATAGCGATTGTGAAGGTGATACATTTACTGTAATTCTTTGCGCCAGTTCGTCTTGAGTCTTATTTACTTCAGTAAGAATGTTGGTCGCTAGAGTTCTACCAACACTCGAAAAATATTCATTGCAGTGGCCCAAGGAATCGGTCACAGAGCTCTTAATTTTGGTCAGTTCTAGTGATTTTTGCGAATTTTTATTAGTATAGATTATGTTTTTTATTGTCTTCCAAAGCTTTTTAGGATTACTCTTATTCTCCCGTAATTCCATTGACTCGTAATTGTGTTTAAGTTTCCGTAGCAGATCATTGTGAAAGTTTTTATACCGAGTATAGACGCGTTTTAGCGTTTCGTCGTAAGGGTTACTACGACATTTCGCATGGAGTTGATCTCTAACTTTTGAGCAACGAATAAGACCGGGCGTCATCCAAAGCTTGATTATGAACTTAGATCGACTAATTGGAATCTGGCTAGTATGCTTGTGCAGAGTCTCCAGAAACAACCGATCGAATGCTTCAAAAGCGTCATCCACTTTGTCTGAACGTGTAACACTACTCCAATCCATTGTATTTAATTCCTCCGCTACCGATTTATAGTCAATTTTAGTATTATAACGCTTTTTTTGCACTGGTTTAGTTGTGGTTGATTTAATGCCTACAATAATCATATCGTGGTCTGCAACATCTGTCTTGTAGATTACCGATGCGGTTTGATGTTTAGATGAAACGTGGACATGGTCCAAGCAAGAATCCCCGCGTGTGGGTTTGGTTACTGTTGGTTTAAGGTCAAGTTCAGCAAGTAAGCACAGATAATCAGTAACAATTCTTAAATCCGCATCATTCTCAGACAAAGTATTAATATTTATGTCTCCTGCAACAATTATACAAGGTGAATCCTTGATTGAGAGAGTCACAGACGTAAGCGATTTCAAAAATGTAGAGATATCGCTGAAAGAAGGAGAGCGATAGATGCCCAAAATACTAAAATGGTTCTTTATTGTTACTAGTAAGCAGTCAGCTTCCTCGAACGATGGCTCAGTAACCTCCGGCGACCATGATTTGTTCACATAAATGACTACTCCACCCGCTTTGTTAGTACATTTGTGTGTGCGATAAGGCTGATATCCATCGATCGGGGGTATTATAGAGCCATCTTGTAGCCAATATTCCGTCAAAACTATTAGGTTAGGTTAGCTGAGGCTAAAAATGCCCGTAGCATTTTTAGCCTCAGCAATGTTAATAAAAATTGATCGAAATTTCTTTGCAAACTTCTTATGTTGAAGGTGAGTGAGAACTTTAACATTAAATTGATTATTAATAAATGGATCACAAGATTCGGGTCGCACAACAATATAACAAGATGAGTTATCGGAATCGAGATCAAACAACATTTCTGAACTAACCATTGTCATAAAGATTTTTAATGAGGTTAAATTTACTGCAAGATTGACCCTGCCAATAACGTGAAGAGGATTTAAAGGAAATAATTAAGAAGAAATTAGTGCTAAGTAAGACTGATCGAAAGTCATTTTCAGGGTTTATAGACGTTCATCATCATTTCATTCAAGATTGTGTGAATGATAAAGTAATCTGCTTAGAGTACAAGCCTTCAACAGAGTTAGAGGCAGACCTATTTACGAAAGCCTTGCCTAACGCAAAGCATGAGTTGTTTGTAAAATCTTTGAGTTTAGTTTAGGTTACCGAACTATTATTGTAATTTGTACTCTCGCGCCATGTTTCTATTACTTAATTATGATTGCTCGTGTAAGGGACAGTGTTGGTAAACCTTTTTGCTGACACACCTTCCATGTATTTCTGTGATTATTTCGAATTTTGATTTAGGCTTTTTGAAGTGTTCCTTGTTGTTGGATTTCATATTTTCTTTTTTTTTGTATTAGACATTTATCAAAAATAGTATAGGGTAGATCTTAGCACTTGCGAGGACTTCCTTTCTTTGTATCCTCCATCCTCCTCCAACATGCGCACTTTTGCTGCTGTCGTCTCTTTTACCGGCCAATGAGTTGGCAACAAAAATAAGACGATAGTCTCACCTATGACACTGAACTGTGTGCATCATAAAAATGGCTAATTAGCGCGATTGTGGTTTTTAATAGTTTATTTTGTTCGCAATACACTGTACTGTGCTCAGTAGTGTACCTGAGGAGTTTTCGTCCTGTGGCGGCCGTATCCAGGCGGAATTGCTGCCAGCGCAACGAAAGAAAAGGTGAGTGTGCATGTTCCCATCATTTTTCCTGTTCTTCGATCTATTACTATATACTTGTTCCAGTCCTTAAAGAAACTACTTGCAAGTGCAGTTACTCGTAGTCCAAGTACCTTTTAATGTAGTTAACAAAAATCGCAAAAAATACAGTCCACTATTTATCGGTATTATACATCTTCATTTCGCACCACCACTTGTCACGACGACTTAAGAAAATATTGTTTTTCTTCATCACGGCAACTTGAGTTGTTTTTATTTTTGCCGAGATTTCCTGGGATAAAAGACTTCTGTCTTTACAAAAGATATTAAATTACAACGTGATACTGTGGTAAGGGATCTTGGTGTACTTCAAGATCATAAGTTATTTCAAAAGCCTCCAAAGGTCTCGTTTGTGATGCGTAACTCCAGAGATTTCAGACAGGCTAAGACACTAAAAATCTTATATTTCTCATTTGTCCGCAGCCACCTGGAATACGCAACGCAGCTCTGGAGCCCCCAATACCTTACCTACATATCGCCTATTGGAAATGCGCAAAAAAGATTTCAGTTTTTATATTTTCGAACGAGGGCGCAGTACGAGTCAAGCCGGTATCTTGATATGTAAGAAACATCATCTTTTGCCATTAGAGGTACGACGTCAGATAGCAGTCCTAGTATTTTTACGAAAAATTGGTTCTGGTGCCGTGGACTCCTCGGAACCCGTATCCAAGATTTCTCTTAGAACCCCTACAAAGTCCCTTAAGTTCGCTTTTGTGCGTACCTCTGGTCTCTTCGAATTTTCGGCGGAATGCATATCTCTTACGTGCGAGTCAATAGCTTCAATGAATTGTCCAAGCAGGTTGATATTGACCTTTTTAACACTAAGTGTTGCATCGGTGACGCGTATTATTAGTTGTTTATTTTTTGCGAGTAAGTAATTAGTGTAAAAATGTTGCGAAAATGTATGTAGTATAGTTAGTAGTTATAATTTAATGCTCATTTACTTCATTAAGTATGTTTCTGTCGGTGAGAACCTATAACTGGCTCTTCATTATTATTTCAGTTTTTACTCTCTGTGAGATAGCCGATGGTCTTCCAATAAGTTAAAATAAAATTAATTAAAATGAAACGAAACGAGACGAGACGAGACGAAATAAATTTTCATATACTTTTGAAAAATATTTTTCATATCTATTCACTTCTTTTTAAACACGTACACTGAGTCCATAACTTATTGGAATTGAGATAATGGTAGAAAGAAATACAAAGAAGCAACACAGGATAACTTGAAAATTATAATCATGAATCTGAGCAAACGAAACCAGGCGAGGTGTATAACTGACAGCAACTATCACATTTCTAAGTTGGTTCTGGTCTGGGTAATGTGGGTATTGCTATTAGAGTTATCGTTATTAGAAAGTAAAAAAAATAATGGTGGCCAGTACAGAGATACATTAATTTTTGTTTTGTAAAATTTAAACAAATCTATATGATCTCACCGCTATAAAAGAAAAAGGCGGCTCGGTAGACACGTTGGAGACATTTAAAATTATGCTTTACATTTATTTAAGGTTGCTTTTACCAAGTTAGGAAATGTCCACCCGCTGCAAACTCGAATCGCATATTGATTGATGGCTCGATCGGTGTAGGCGTGACAGTACTCACCGGAGGTTGCGATTTTCGTAAGTGGTGGCTGAGCAGGTGCACGCGGAGACGGCGGAGGCGAAACGCGCCCTGCGCGACGCCGAGGAGCGCCGGGACGAGCTGCTGCGGGTGGAGCGCGCCATCGCCGAGGTGCACGACCTGTTCGTGCAGGTGGCGCACCTCGTCGCCGCGCAGCAGGACCAGCTCGACTCCGTGGAGTTCTACGCGCTGCAGGCCACCGAGCACGTGGACAGCGGCCAGCAGCAGCTGCTCAAGGGCTCGGTCACGCGCAAGCGCACGCAGCAAGTACGACCGTTTCGTGGCTTCTTTTGACATCTTCTGCTCTGTGTTTGTTTGGAAGTCGCGTCCTATTTCGCCGAAGGCGCTGCGTTCTTTGTTGCTATTAATAAAAATGACAAAATGGTACGTTCCTGCCTCCGTGGCCAAGCGGTTACCTTGCCGGACTGCCACGAAGAGGTCTCAGGTTCGATTCCCGGGCCGGGAGAAATGTTTGTATGGCCTACATTTATTTATCTCGTGAGTTTGGGTGTGATTTCTAGTTGTCTATGTGGCGTTTCCCAAGTGCGGGGTAATGTTGAGCGTGTACGTTATTATTATTATTATTCCATTTTGATACGGACACGTTTTTGGTTCTCGTTTAATTTATAATGTCCGTTAAGTCGGAAGAAATGTATTGTTATTTTTTTTATAACATCAAGTGACGGGACGAACAAATCATCCGCCTGATGGTAAGCTACACGCCTGTCCACAACAGTTGCAGTGCCACTCAGAGCTTTAAATCGCAAAGATCTGAGGAACACTGCCACTGCGCCCGTCACCCTGAGACGTAAGTTGACAAGTCCCATGTGCCCGTAATTTCACCAGCACCCTTACCCTTCAAAACCAGAACACAGTAATGCTGACATTACTGCTTGGCGGTAGAAATAGATAAGGTGGCAGGCAGTACTTTTCTGGACGAACTTTTTCATGAGGGACTAAAACTAGTAGGAGTAGTAGAGTCCCTTATGAAACGACACGCGTTATGTTCAAAGCAGGCACGAATATGTTTATACGCGTGCCTGCTTTGAACATAACGCGTGTCGTAATGCGTGCAGATGCACAGGTAATTATGGTTTTCGAGACTAGCGACGTATTTGAAAAGCTTAATTTGAAAGATGGTTTAAAACAATATAAAGCATACCTGTCACGCAAAGCCAAACCGCATAGGTACCCCATATCATACGATCTTGTTACGTCATTATTTTGGTCAAGAGAAAGCTCGGTGTCTTATTTACAATAATATGTTACTCATTCTGAATGCAGCTGTGCAATTAATTTAATTAATTAATTAAATTTGGACCACTATTCTTGAAAAGCAGACATGTAATTTATTATGTTCCAGAAAAAGTGGGGTCTAATCATGTGCTTGGTGGCGGGCGGGTCAGTCGTGCTGCTGGTGCTGATCTTCACGTAGCGTCAGCCCCCATCGACCCCGCGCATGACCGCCTGATGACATACGAGCAGATGTTGCGGCATCGCGTTGTGAAGCCGCATACACGAAAATAGAATTCCCATCAAACTTATTGCCCTGAATGTCCTGTTTTATTTTTTCTTCTTGCATTACGACGTATGTAAAGCCATTGGTATTAATATAATAAGTCCTTTACAATTCCAGAGCTAGTCCAAGGTGTTCCACATTTGTTTAACCTTTTATTTATTAAGTATTAAATCATTGCCTAGTATCATTGTTTCAATTCCGGAATTCTACTTTTATGTAATGTTAAAGCAAATAATGTACAAACTATGAAGTGAGAGGTGGAAAATGTATGTTTAATTGTCATTTGTCTATTTCATGAGCTAAGCGGGGCATTTAGTTCAGGTACATATTTCATTTATTATGTTAATTACGACTCCCGTACCCTACCTACGATGGAGTAGGGCTCAGCCAGCGGCGCGTGATCGGGTTTAGATTATGGGCTGTGCTTATTTATTTATTTATTTAATTGGGATAGCAACAGCAATAATGATAGGTTACAAAAAATTAAATTACATATTACAAAGCCAGTAACAGTTATCCTCGATTTATACATTAAAATAAAAACAGAGCACGGGGTGTCCATAAGCATTATAAATAATTATACAGATTATATACATACATATAATTGTGAAACAAATTAAGTAAACTAAATACGTACACTTACATACAAACAATACTTACTATACACAATAAAACTTAATATTAATAAGTATTATACACTATACCTACATATGAAGACAACTTAACACTAAATCATAAATACTTCTAACATTACAAAAATATCAAACTATAACTATAAAAGAAATAAACAAATAAATGAGCAAAATAAAATAAATTAAGTGAACCTACGCATCGCGTTCGAAAATTAATTCTTTAATGTTTGACTGGAAAAAATGCTTTTTTATCTACAAAGGGATCAACGTCATAGAAATATTTATTGTAACCAGTAACTAATCTTGTGAGCACAGAGTTTTTGCCGTAGTTTGTGCAGTGAAATGGTACATGAAAAAGAGACGCATGTCTGGTACGACGGGCAGGCACTCGAAAACTTATTTTGCTGTAATAAATCTGGACAATCCAAGCGACCATTGAGTACATCATACAAAAGACCCATATCCAACAACGGTCCTGGAGACTTAACAAATTGTATGTGCGACAGATATCAACGTAAGGTGAATGATGATCGGTTAATCTACATTTATAATTCAAATGCTTTAGGAACCTCTTTTGAATTCGTTCAATTTGATTAATATAAACACTATAGAGTGGTGACCATATAGGACTAGCATAGTCCAATATGCTACGGACATATGCCGAATACAATAATTTTAAAGTGGTCGCACAATTAAACGATTGACAAGTTCGTAGAACAAAGCCCAAGTTCCTATATGCCCTGTTAGTGATACTGTTATAATGATGAGACATAAGCATTTTGGAATCAAAATAAACACCCAGGTCCCGCACAATGTGGGTCTTCTCAATAGCGATACCACTGGAATGGTACGGATATACAATTGGATTTATTTTACGAGTAAAACTTATACATTGACATTTACTGGCGTTGACTGTGATTCTGTTACTACTATAATAATTGTACAAATTGTTTTTTGTAATAGCTCATAGTCAGCTGTGGATCGAACTTGCATGTAAATCTTTTTGTCGTCGGCATAGAGTAAGTTCTTAGCGTTAATTATGAGATTATTAATATCATAAATATAGGCGTTGTAAAACAGAGGTCCAAGGTGTGAACCCTGAGGGAGGGCGCTGCATTCGCCTAACGAACATCGCTCTGTGTTAATTTATTTAAAAAAAATTGCTACTATAAGTTTTCCAGTTCTTAATGTTTATATAAGTGTTCATAGTTGTTCAATTCGCCAGGAAAACTATTATCATCGTGAAATACCTAGTACTTTAAGGAATTTTTAGTGCGTAAATATCGGCTACAAAATTTTCTCTGTACGATTGTTAAACTTGTGTATGACTTTAAATTTTAGTAATAAAGAATAAAATTTCGTGATATATTCCTGCAAAATCAGTGAGTGTTGTGAAATTAATCAAAACAACAGGATTAAAAGTGTTTTTTAAAAAGGAGACTCGTTGCGTCGTTGCTACCGTTCGTTAAAAAAGTGTCTTGCTATTACCCACTTCGTCGCAACATTGAATAGATAACAACTGAATACAAAACTGTACCATAATTTCGCCGGTACATCTTGTGTACGCATTGGTCTAGCGGGATAACGGCCGGATTCAGATTTCACCGCCCGCGGTGCGCATCTCAGACGCTGTAGGGTTTTCTGGGGAGTATTTCTTTTTCGTTTTTTTTTCTTTTTTCATTATTATTATTTTATTATTGCTATTATTTAAAAAACATTGTACTATTATTATTATTTTGTCCTTTTACCTAAGTTCCATAACATAACACATATTATAAATTACATACATACAACGCAACACTGAACTTGACTCCTTTTGCTTGACTTTTGTCAAACAAATCTCGGAGACAACGTACCTTCATACATTCCATTAAAACACTTTTATTTAGTTATTTGCATTATTATTATTACACAGAAAATTTAGTACAGACAGTTTTTAGCTTTAGTTGATTACCGTTACGTATACATATAAGTAAGTAGCTATCGATTAACACATTAACACTACAATAACTGTCGTGTATTTGCAATTGGTCTCAATTGACTTCAATACATTTGAAGTAGACTTTGATGTATTTGCTTGTTTTATACAGACATACATACATAAAGTGCACGCCTGAGACCTTTAACTATTACATAATATATAATTTTTATTAACAATACCTCGTATATATTTATATATACATTTTGAGTAATTTTATTAATATTCTTTCCGTGCATAAGTTTTGTGAGTGAGATTTGTATGTTTTAGGTAGAATAGACCAGACAACCCTGGTTCATTTCAATTATCTGATAGATTAAGGATTAGAAACAGACAATAGCTCACTGTGCTAGTGGGAACTTCGTATTTGGAAGAGGCCTGTGTACATAATTTACATATTTTTTTAAGTACATTCTGTGCGCTTACATTCCATTTGATACATTCCAGTGACGCGATATCCAGTACAACATGATGACCAGGAGAATGTTGTCTGAAGAAAAGAGCAAGAAGATGGAAGCTGAGCTCAATGAACTGAGGGCACTGACAGATAGGCTTCTTGAAGAACGCGATGTATATGAAATGGAAATGCAGGCGCTCAAGACTTCACGAATGACATTAAAAGGGAAATTTGATGAAATTCGACGATTTTGTGAAGAATTAGAAAAAGAGTGCAAACGAAAGGAATTAATTATAGAGAGCTTCCGAGAAAATCACCAGGAACACGAAGACGCCTTAGACCGTATCAGATTTCTTCAAAGACAGGTAAAGGAATCAAATGCTGATGTTGCATCATTACACGAACAAAGCGGAAGTTACGACCACCTAACGACCTTGTCACTCCGTGATGAACTAGCTCTGGGAGACAGGAATGTATGCAACAGTAAATTATGCAGCACTAAATCGCAAGACCCAAGATTTTCCAAATTAACCAACCTGATAAGAAAGAAATCGAAAACTCTTAACAAACTAAAATCAGAAAAATTAAATTTACACAAGGACAAGGTGAAGATGGCCGAACAAGTGAAAGATCTAGAGTTAGATCTTCAATCGCGAACTAAAGACCTACTTTCTACGCAGAAACAACTAGAAGAACTTTCAGCTGCCACTAATGAGCTTTTAAAGCTGGGTACTGAGTATAGAGAACTTACTCAAGTCCTTCTTCACGATGAGCTTAGTGAAACAATTGGTCCAGTAGAAATAAATCAGACTCCGTCCCCACCACCCACATCATCAACGCAACCAACACGTGCATCGTATGCCAGCGTTGCTGCAGGAAAACGTGTCTGCTCCACTACAACTGTTGAAGTTCGACACAGTCAACGGTCAACCAAGACTATTAGAACTCCGACCAGGCCATCCAGAAGAACGGTAGTTTTTTCTGATAAAATAGGCGTAGGACTAGGCCACCACCTAAGTAACCACTTAAAACAAAGGGTAGTCGACTATTGCTATCCAGGAGCTACTTTTAGTCAAATTATTACACTGTTAAGTGATTGCAACTTTGATAAATATACAACAGTGATTCTTATAATAGGTGATAGTACTAACATTAGTAAAAAAGAAGTAAATAGTAGCATTGACGTTTTCTTGAGAATTCATGAGAAGTGTGGGTGTAAATTCATACTAAGTGCATTCGCTTACTGCTCTAACCTAGGCATCGCTCGTAATAAGTATATATATGACATAAATTCGCACATTCATAATTTGACTTGTAATTTAATTTGACGTTATATTTTGTTTTGACATTAATAAGTTCGTAAGGAACTTCAAACTTTTTGAGGATAATTTACTTTTACCCCTAAGGTATCTAAGACATATAGCTAGTTTGCTATCTTTTAATATTAAGGACGCTGTTATAGAAGATATAACACAGTCCCACGACAATGCTCCTACTTTAAGTAGCAACAGTATACTTTTTACTAACCATAATTTAAACTGAAAAACACGACAACAGAAAAGTCTAATCGTTTCCATGTAGTACATCAAAATATTCAAGGTATTTCTGGCAAAACATTAGAAATAAGTCTTTTTTTGCACGATATTTCCGCTGACGTGTTTTGTGTTACAGAACACTGGCTGAAAGATTACGAAGCCATTAACAATATAGAAAATTATGTAATAGTCAGTTCGTTCATAAGAAAGAGCTTAAGTAGAGGCGGATCCATGATTATTATTAAGCGTAACTTAAAATTTAAAGAGCGTAAGGATATCACAAATCTTTCTACTGAACGAACTATTGAGATTTCATGTGTGGAATTGGATCAGTTTGTCGTCTTATGTGTATACAGGCCCCCCTCTGCTAATTTTGACGAGTTTGAATTAATTATGGAAGACAGTTTAAAGCGGATTTTTCCAACCAAAAAAAAACGTAGTAATATGTGGAGATTTCAATGTAAACCTGTTGGAAAACTGTTCTACTTCTGTAAGACTCACTAATTTATTTCAAAGTTTTAACTTGATTAATCTTTTTTTAGAACCAACTCGCATTACTGTCTCCTCTTCTACTTGTATTGATAACATCTTTTGTAACACAGACGCAGTGTCTAAATAAAAAAAACCGCCAGGTGGCGTACTAAAGTAAACATCGACTCCGTGATATTATTTATTGTAAAATTGTAATTTTATCAGTACAGTTAAAAAAGTAGTGAAAAACGTTAAATATGGACATAATATGCGTGTGAAAGTGTTTGTGGCGATTTTCGCTCATGTGTTTAAAAATGCAGTAACATTATTAATTTCGTGCCATTCAACGTCAATAAACTAATCTTTCCTAAAACAGTTTTACGACAATAGCAACCTATTGCTAAGCTGATTATATATCAAGTGTAAAAAAATAAGAATTGACAGTGAAAGTGTCCTGAATTTCGAATTTTGGATTATAACGAACATTTTTAAATTACCTACCTATTATAAAAGACGAGGTCAACGTATTTAAAGTGCTCAGCTATTAGCCAGTATACTGGGACCTCTGCCTTGCGACTACTGTCCACACCTATCGTGTCAAGAGACTTTGGACAGTTGTGGTTTCATACGACCAGTCAACTAGATCTGCCGCTTATCGTTGCAAGCCCGGGCGACCGGTGTCTCGCACGATTGGTATTATGGCGGGCCGTAAGCAAAAAATGCAATGTACTGGATGCAAGCAAATTATTACATCGAGGGAGTTTTTAAAATGCACTCGGTGTGATAAGGTATTTGATATTCAGTGTACTCGAGACATATCAGAAAAAAGATTTCGTATAATGACTTCAGTGAGAAAGCAGTCTTTAAGAAAATCTTGGACATGCCACTTCTGCAACACTGAAGATGAGAATACGATGGAGAATATTGGGGACACAAAAAAAACTGACTTATTACTTAAACAACTGGTTACTTTAAATCAAAGCACTCCCCAGTCGTCACTTTCATCTTTTCATTCACCTTTATCTCAATCACCATCGGTGAGTGTTGCCCACCGGAAGAAATATGTGCCAAACGTGCCTACAGATAACTCTTTTGACTCGTTATGCTCTGACACGGACGAAGAAATTATTGAGGTGGACAGAGAGGTCACTTTGCTCCAAAAAAGTGCTCTCAATAGAAGTTGTCCTGACTTAGCGAAGAGTGAAAGTGAGGCAGTAAAGGAAATGAAAATTAAAGTGGACAATTTGACGGCTCAATTGGAAACGGTGAATCAAATGTTTAATGATTTGCTAATAGAAAATGGTTCTCTAAAACGACGAATTACTGAGTATGAACTTAAAATTGACAAGCTCACTCTCATTTGCAAGACACCTTCAAAAAAATCTACCAAAAAAGTTCGTAAAAGTTTAAGTACAATTGACTCGAATATTAATGTATGTAACCTTAAAGAACAAAGCTTACAGCAGTCGGAGCCAGAGCCAGAATTGAATCAAGAAAGAGAATTAGATTTAATCAACGAAACACAAAGAAATGAATCTAAAGAAGATAGAAACAACAAAAAAGAAAATTCGACCAGAAGGAAGAAAATAATCGTTTTAGCTGACCAAACAGGCAGAGAAATCAGGCAAAATTTACAGACTCTTGTTGGGTCACAGTTTGAGGTTTTTTGCTTTCGCAAACCCGGAGCTAAGCTGCCTGATATACTGAAGTCATACGCAAAAGATATTGAAAACTTAACTGAAGATGATTTTGTTATAGTGATGGGGGGCATGAATGATGATAATCCTTTTAGTATCTTTTCTAGTCTTACGGTGTGGTTGAATGAGTTCTCGAAACCAAATGTTATTCTATGTGAAGTACCTTACAATAAACATCTCAATGAAACTAAGTTAAACTATGAGTATAAACTAATAGGTAGTAAATATTATAATGTAACTGTCTTAGACATGGATTTCAGTAGATATATATACCAACAAGAAAGCATTTCCCACTAATCGTATCTCGATATTTGCTTAGAGAAATTTTACATATCGGCTACAAATCGACATTCAACAATTTTATTAATAGAAAATATCCTGTAAATGTTGTAACAGTTTCCACACAAACTGATCCATCACTAGAACCAATAGTCATTTCAAATAAATATAATGATGACATAAATACTGATAAATTTTTTCGTGGCTAACTATATTAATATATTACATCAAAATATCGACGGACTACTTTACAAATCTGACTTGCTAGCAATGGTACTCGATGACTCATTTAATAGCGGTAACCCGGTGGACATAGTTTGCATTACGGAACACAATATGGTGAGTGACGACGTTAATCTACTACAAATACCTAACTTCGAATTAGCAGCATATTCTGCGAGGGAAAATAGACATGGCGGTACATGTATTTTGGTTAGAAACCAGCTCAGGTATAAGTTGCTGACATCGGTCGCCAATTACAGTGTATGTAATATAATTGAATGTTGCGGTATTGATCTCATAGATCATAATTTAAAAATAATATGTTTTTATAGAGTACCTAATAATATGAAGAAAAATCTAAAATTGTTCTACGACAATTTTCACGATATGATATTTGAGCAATGTCACAAGAGGGCTAAAAATATTATAATTTGCGGAGACTTTAACATAAACCTTATTGAAAATGCACCGGACGCAAATCAACTCAAGAATCTGCTTACAAGCTTTTATCTCATGATAGCAATTAATGAGCCAACGTCTCTGTAGCGGTAGATGTATAGATAATATATTTCATAATATTCAGGGAAGTAAAGCTAGTGTTGTTGAGTATGCATTGTCAGATCATACCGCTCAACTGCTTAAATGTCCGGCAAAAAAAACGAATATCAATGATTACTGGTATAGATTGACGCGTGATTTATCACAACACAATATGATTAAGTTTAAGGAATGTTTGAGTGACATAAAATTCAATGATGTCTATTCAACTAGGGACCCTGATACTATGTTTGACGTATTTTACGACATATTCACACTTTTATATAATTTATGCTTTCCTATAAAAAAGATTAAAATTCATTGTCGAACTAAACCTAAGTGGATTTCACGTGGGATTAAATTATGTTGTAAAAAAAAGAGGGAAATGCTGTGGCTTTACAGACATACACGGAACAATCAGCACAAAAATAATTATAAAACATATACTAACAGGTTAAAAAAAAAAATTAACTTAACAAAACGCTCACAAAATAATTACTATATTTTAAACGCTAAAAATAAATGTAAGACCGCATGGAAAATTATCAATGAACATAAAGTCACATATCCTCAACAAACTGTCACCGATATAATTAGAAACGGAGAGATAATTACTGATCCAACTAGCATAGCACAAGCTTTTAATGACTACTTTTTGGAACAATTCCAACCAGTACACCAGAACACTCAGAAAACAAATATAAAAAAATGTTTAAATAATAGTTCCAAATCAATGTTTATGAAACCAGTAGCACCTCAAGATGTCATGAAAGTAATACAAGATTTGAAAAGTACGAGCAGTACTGGGTATGACGACATCAGTACAAGGGTGGTAAAGTCTGTCGGTGACATTATATCTGCAGTACTGAGTCATATATTCAATAAATGTGTACAAGATGGTACATTTCCTGACAAGTTGAAGATATCAATTATAAAACCTCTATTCAAAAAAGGTGACAAAAATAGTCTTGGTTCCTACAGACCTATTGCTCTATTGCCGGTATTTTCTAAAATATATGCGAAATTAATTTATAATTACTTTGAAAACAACAATGTATTCTGTACAGAGCAATATGGATTTCGTAAAAACAAATCTATCAACATGGCTATTTATGACTTTTTATTTAAAATTTACAAATGTGTTGATACCCGTTTGCCTGTAATAGCCTTAAACATAGATTTAACAAAAGCTTTCGATCATGTTGACCATAAAATATTACTAGACAAACTTTATGCATACGGGATAAGGGGCAATGTACATAATCTTTTCAAATCATACTTAAGCGAGAGATATCAATCAACTATAATAATTAGGCATAATCCTAGGACAAACACTGAAACAAAGCATTATTCAACTGCCATAAATGTCAATTGTGGAGTTCCCAAGGCAGTATTCTTGGGCCATTGCTATTTTTGATTTATATCAATGACTTTTCAAAGTCAATTGACCAACCAATGGTATTATTCGCTGACGACTGTACAGTGGTTTGTAACAATGATAAGGACATTAATGATAGTTTGACATTTATTTTGAATTGGCTTAAATTAAACAATCTAAAAATTAATATGGAGAAAACGAAAATTATGAATTTTACACAAAGAAAACGGCATACTATTAATGCCATTAATTCTCTGGGCAGAAATATTGACGCAACGGAAGTCACGAAGTTTTTGGGTTTACATGTTGATAGAAAATTAACGTGGAATTCTCAAATTGAACATGTCTGTGCTAAATTAAGTAAATACTCTTACTCTTTATTTAGGTTAAACAAGGTTGTTGAAAGACATGTTGTTCTACAGGCCTATCACGCGTATGTAGCTTCTACTCTAAGGTACGGTATAATGTTTTGGGGAAATGCTTCAGGTATTAATGCGGTATTCCGTGCTTAAAAAAAGTGTATAAGAGCTATATGTAATTTAAAGCGAATGGACAGTTGTAAACCTTACTTTAAGGAACTTCATCTATTGACATTAACGGGTCTATATATTTATGAATGTTGTATTTTTATCAGAAAAAATCCAAATATGTTTAAGAACGTTGCACGGGAGCGTAATTGCGATAAATTGTATACTGAACCGCATAAAACTGCTTTATTTGGCAAATCTTTATACGTCATGGCACCTAGAATTTATAATTATTTGCCTAAAGACATTAGAATAATTACTAATTTTAATGACTATAAAAGTAACCTTATGACATTCTTAGTAAATAGTGCTTTTTACTCTTTGACAGATTTTTTTGCCTTTAAATATTGACATGTTTCTCTTTTATTTTTAACTTATTTTGTTTGTACTTGTAACTCTTTTATTTCTAAACATTTTGATCATTTCAATTATTGTTTTAATGTAATGAATTTTATTTTAATGTTTCTCTATTAATTATAATTAAGCATAATAGAACTGCATGATAAATTGTTTTGTGAACCTACATTTGCACGCCGATCATGGCAGAATAAGCTGGACATTGTACAATTTAAGACCTGTAAACCTTATTCCGACAAGTAAATTAATTTGTAATTTGTAATTTGTAATTGTAATAATAAATTGCTTAAGATCAGACCATAGTGGCCAATTGGCTTCTTTTAATTGTAAAATGAGCAAGAAGGTAGACCAATTTCTCTGCAGACCGATTACCACAGAACGAATAATTAGATTTCAAAATAATATCGGCAATAGTTTATATTCCCTATCCCATATACCGGAGGATCCAAATACTTTATACAACACGATATTTGGTTTAATTAAAAATGAATTTGACAATATATTTAAATCGAAAACATTAACTTTCCATAGAGAGACTAAATTCAACGACTGGGCAACAGTAGGTATTCATAAGAGTAGGTCACGTTTGTATGAGCTATATGCTATGAAAACTTATAATACTAATTCCAATTTCATAGAATATGTTAGAATTTATTCGAAAATATTTAAAAAAGTTTGTGTAGCTGCTAAGGTTAAGTTTCACAGCGACGAAATTAGACAATCGATAAATAAATCTAAAACTACTTGGAGCATAATAAATAAAGAGTCAGGCAGGGTTAAACTACGCGATAGAGATATAGTTTTAGAATTAGACAGCAAACTTATAAAATCTAAAGATAAAGTAGCCCAAGCTTTTGAATCGTTCTTTTCGGAAATTGCTGTGAACACTACAAAATCATTAAATTCCTCCCCTTCACTTGCTATTGATCTCCTAAAGGAAAATGTTAACGTTTGTGGCAGTTTATTTAATTTTCGTCATGTTAATCCACAAGACATCATAAAAGCTTTTAAGTCATTACATGTTAAAAAACTGAAGATCTCTGGGGCATATCAACTAAAGTTATAGACTCAGTTATTAATCTCATTTCCCCACAGTTAGCTGTAGCTTTCAATAGGTGCGTTGACGAAGGTATTTTTCCCGATTTAATGAAATACAGCAAGGTTATTCCCTTATTCAAAAGCGGTAGGAAAGTTGATCGTAGCAACTATAGGCCCGTTTCAATTTTACCAGCTTTAAGTAAAATATTCGAAAAGGTTATGCTAACTCAATTACTGTCCTATTTCGGTAGGAATCATATTTTTCATAGTGAACAATACGGGTTTACTAGTGGTAGATCGACTAGCGATGCGGGGGTAGCGTTACTAAAAGACATCTTTGATGCTTAGGAAAGGTTCCAGAACGCTATTGGTGTTTTCTGTGACCTCTCAAAGGCATTTGATTGCGTTGATCATAATACTCTTATTAGGAAGCTGGAACATTACGGTGTAAATGGCATGGCGTCGAAACTTGTCTCGTCATATCTCAACGGTAGAATTCAGAAAGTAGACATAAATGGAGTGACTTCTTTGGGTTCTCCAGTAAAAATGGGTGTTCCGCAGGGCTCAATACTTGGACCTTTCTTATTTCTGATTTATATTAATGATCTGCCATTCTTTGTTAAGGGCCATTGCGAAATAGTGTTGTTTGCTGATGACACATCCTTGATTTTTAAAACAGACAGACATGACATTAACTATGACCGTATTAATGATACCCTCTCTAAGGTAGTTTATTGGTTTAATGCTAACAATTTATTGCTTAATGCCAAGAAGAC